CCTGTAATCCTAGCTACTCAGGAGGCTGAGATCTGACGATCATGGTTCAAAGCCAGCCTAGGCAGGAAAGTCTATGAGATTCTTTATCTCCAATTAACCACCAGAAAACTGGACGTGGCACTGTGGCTCAAGTGGTAGAGCACCCTTCTTGAGCTGAAGAGCTCAGGACCAGCGCCTAGGCCCAGAGTTCAAGCCCATGGCCTTTTTACATTATTAGCACATTTAATCTTTTCAGCCATTTTGTAAAGAGGTACTATTAATATCACAACATTACAGATGAGGCAACTGAAAAGGAGATTCCCATGATTTACATGGCTAGTAAGGGGTAGAACCTAGTAAGATTTGAGCCTAAACATCCTAGCCCTAGAGTCTCTGCTGTTAACTAAAGGTCAAATGGCAGCATTGACAGATGTGCTGACTCCAAAGAATAGGTATGTTCACTTCTGTTATGGCTATCTGCTTCTGAGAGACACCTGCAAGCAACTAAGTTGCTTAGTCCTGCTCTTCGCTCTTTGCATACTCCAGCACCTAACCTCTGTCCTCTCACCTGGCAGGAGTGGTAGAAGTATACCGAGTAACCAAACGTGTGGAGCTGGGGATCAAAGCCACTGCAGTGTGCAGTGAGAAACTCCAGCAGCTGCTAAAGGACATCGATAAAGTCTGGAATAACTTAATCGGCTTCATGTCACTTGCCACTCTCACAGTAAGCACGTTAGACAATGCAGCAGTGGTTTTTCTTTCCAGAAACCTAACTTGTGAACCTGGGGCTACATTCCTATGATGGCACTTGTCAGAAGATGATGATACTTCCAGGATCCTGTTTGGTTAAAGGAGGAAGGTGACATGCTAAGCTGGCTTCTAGAGAGCTTGCAAAACCCACCAAACTTATAAAATAAGAGTGTAGGGAGCTGGGAAGGTGGCTCAGTGGTAGAGCTCTTGCCTTGCATGCATGAGGCCCTGGGTTCAATTCCCAAGCACCACATAAGCAAAAAGAAAAAAAGCCGGAAGTGGTGCTGTGGCTCAAGTGGTAGAGCACTAGCCTTGAGCTGAAGAGCTGAGGGACAGCGCCCAGGCCCAGAGTTCAGGCCCCACAACCGGACCCAAAAAAAAAAAAAGAGTATAGCACATTTACCCTACATCCTTCAACAGACATGCAAGTTTAAAAAAAGAAAGGCTTGATTTGAGTTCCTTTTCTCCTGCTCAAACAGGCACAGTTCTGCTGCTTCCCAGATATCTACCAGGAAATGAGGTGTCTGTCTTTCCCTCTAGTAGGTTTCTGAAAGAGAAGTTGTCAGGGAAGTTATTAACTTTCACCAGTTGTTTTTCTCCTCCTTTATATTTTATTAAGTAGAATTTGTATGTTGGTATATCCATACCTATTAGTCATAATGATATCCTTTTTCACAAGTCAGAAATTTATGTTCTTCCCACATCAGGAATAAATACTGTTCTTTCTTTTCTCTTTTACATTTAACTGCGTAACCCATCTGAACAGGACTGCAGCTGTGTGGTACGAAGCAGTTCTCACTGCTCTGAAACAGGCAGTAGGATTTGTAGCAGTCGCAACAACCTGCCTCAAACAGCAAATCTTCCCTCTGTTGTTACATTGCTTCTACTTTGCAGTATTAAGTTCTTAAAGAATTTAAGTAATTTCTCAAATTTATTTCATTCTTTTGAATCATTTTTATTTACTTATTTATTTATTTTTGGACAGTCCTGGGGCTTGAACTCAGGGCCTGGGCACTGTCCCTGAGCTTCTTTTGCTCAAGGCTAGTGCTCTACAACTTGAGCCACAGTGCTACCTCTGGCTTTTTCTGTTTATGTGGTACTGAGGAATCAAACCCAGGGCTTCATGCATGCGAGGAAAGCATTCTACCACTAAGCCACATTCCCAGCCCACCATTTTTTAATTTGTGGCCCCCAAATCACACAGTTTAGATAATTATTTTTAGAAAAATTAATTGGCCAATATAATAATAAATGGAATGTAGACTTTGAAGTGTTAAAATTATGTTTATTTGGCAATATGAAATTCTTTGCAAATCTGAATTCAACAGGTTAAATGTACTGTTTGGCAAAAATTCATAGCATTTCTACATATTAACAATAGTTGGAAAATATAATGAGGGCTGCGAATGTGGCTTAGTGGTAGAGTGCTTGCCTAGCATGCATGAAGCCCTGGGTTTGATTCCTCAGTACCACATAAACAGAAAAAGCTGGAAGGTACACTGTGGCTCAAGTGGTAGAGTGCTAGCCTTGAGCAAAAGAAGCTCAGGGACACTACCCAGACCCTTAGTTCAAGCCTGAGGACTGGCAAAGAAAGAAAATATAATGAAATAGGCTTGACTGTTTTTTTCTTTCTTTCTTTCTTTTTGGTTAGTTGTGGGGCTTGAACTCAGAGCCTTGTTGCTGTCCCTGATCTCTTTTTGTTCAAGGCTAGCACTCTACTACTTTGAGTCACAGCTCCATTTCATGTCTTTGAGTGATTAATTCGGAGATAAGAGTCTTATGGAGACTTTTCTGCCCAAGATGACTTCAAACCATGATCCTCAAATCTCAGCCAGGTGGTGGTGGCTCACACCTGTAATCCTAGCTACTCAGGAGGCTGAGATCTGAGCGTCATGGTTCAATGCCAGCCAGGGAAGAAAAGTCTATGACACTCTTATCTCCAATTAAGTCACAGAAAAAGCTGGAAGTGGTACTGCGACTCAAGTGGTAGAGTGCTAGCTTTGAGAAAAAGGAGCTCAGGGACAGCACCCAGGCCCAGACTTTGAGCCTTAGGACCAGCGGGAAAAAAAAAAAAGACACCAAGTGAGGGTTCAGAGATTAATTACCTGCAACCCTACAGTGGTAGAATGCACTGCAAATTGTACATGAACACCACTGCATATTTATTTCTCTAAATTACCTCTGTTCTTCCAATTACAATTGCTTTTCACATTGTTAACTGCGACAGAAAAATAATCACTCTGTTCAGATGTTTTTCTTTATTGTATCATTCATTTCTTCTTGACAGGCAGATAGATCCTCAAGTCTGTAAAACAAACTTGAATTGCACACTGCCTGAAGAATGGCATATATTACACAGAAGTTTAAGGCAAGACTTGTCCTAAAGAAGCCTTTGCTATGTAACATATCAAAATAGCTACATAAAGATAAATGACATACAATCCAACACCTGTGTAGTTGAGTTGTAACAAAATTGTATAAACCACAGTGACTGTGGAAAAGAAGCCCACAGCAAGAAGCTGGTTCCTACAGAGAGGCCTGACTGAGGTTGTATAGGAAGCTTTGACCCCTTCATCCCACCACTTCATGGTAAATGTGTCCTCAATGGACCACACTGTCACTGTGAGGCTCCTTGACTTCTTTTTTTTTTTTTGGGTCCGGTCGTGGGGCCTGAACTCTGGGCCTGGGCGTTGTCCCTCAGCTCTTCAACTCAAGGCTAGCGCTCTACCACTTGAGCCATAGCGCCACTTCCGGCTTTTTTCATTTTGCTTATGTGGTGCTGCGGAATCGAACCCAGGGCCTCAGGCATGCAAGGCAAGCGCTCTACCACTGAGCCACCTTCCCAGCCCCTCCTTGACTTCTTCAGTATGTGACCCCTCCCATTATCAATAGTTTCCATTTGTTTTGCACTTAGCATCTGCTCTCTTCCTTGTATTCATTCTCATTTAATGCAGTAACAAGCTGTGAGGTCAGCAGTATTTTCTTTGTTTTTTTACAATTGAAGAAATCAGGAGCTCAGAGAAAATAAAAAGACCTAAATTGAGATCTGGCATCTGAATCCACATCATTGTTTTAAAATTTACACTTTTCCCCACTATGTTATTTTTAACTTTCGAGGTCCTAGAAAAGGCTTGTTCTTTTTTTTTTTTTTGGTCCGTGGTGGGGCTTAAACTCTGGGCCTGGGTGCTGTCCCTGTGCTCTTCAGCTTAAGGCAAACACTCTAACACTGGAGCCACTGACACCTCTGGTTTTCTAGTGGTTTATTGGAGATAAGAGTCTCACAGACTTTCCTGCCTGGGCTGGGCTGGCTTTGAACCATGATCCTCAGATCTCAGCCTCCTGAGTAGCTAGGATTATAGGCATGAGCTACTGGCACTCACCGTCTTGTTCTTTCTTAATGGAGAATCCATAAGACTATTCCCTTTAAACAGTGGCTGCATCGCTGCATGGGGGCTGGAGTGGAACTCAGTAGAATGTGTGCTTAGCAATCAGTACATGGCCTGTACACACACACACACACACAAAATCAGCATTATCTTCCTCTAGGAGGAAAGCTCCAGTTGTGGTATGCACTACAGTAGGGATGCTTGGATGAAGGAAAGTAAGGTACAAAGTCCTAAACTCCGAGTTGTGGTCTCTTAATATTTACTTGAATTGGATGTTACATAGGCAAAGAGGTTTTATGCTGCTCTTTCCCACTAACCCTCCCTTTGCCTGAAACCCCCTCTTGTGGCAGAAGCATGGACCCCTCTGGCACAAAGACCCTGAAGCAACCTGCTCTCTAGGGGAAAAGTCTATTGTATAAGATGGGATGCTCTGACGGTCTGCCCCCCTGAGTAAATTGTTACCTAAGCCTTTATCTATCTCCTGAGTATGGATTGAAGTTCTGTAGATCTGAAACAAAGAATTCAGTTTGGGAGGAGGAGAAGGGTAAAGGGAAACCTGATCAATGCTTGCCTTACAAAATCTAATAGAAAAGACTTTTTCTCCAGACCCAGCCAACTGGAGATCCCACAGGCTCTTTGATTCCATTGTTACTTACCTTCAATGTCATACAAATTCTTTTCTGATTCCTTTCATTGAGAAATAGCAGTGAATTTCAGTGAAGTTATTTCCTATTGCTGTGGCTTTTGTGTGTGTGTGTGTGTGTGTGTGTGTGTGTGTGTGTGTGTGTGTGTGTGTGTGTACGTGCGCGCGCGTGCTTACGCATGTGCATATGAGTGTACAAGCATGTGCTGATCCTTTTCCTTGAACTCAGGACCTGTCGGAGCACTGTTCCTGAGATTTTTTTTTTGCCCAAGGCTAGTATTCTACCACTTGAAACACAGTTATACTTTCAGCTTCTTGGTGATTAATTGAAGAAAAGAGTCTCATGGACTCTGCTCAGGCTGACTTTGAACATCAGTCTTACAAGAGCAGGGCAGGCGGTAAGACTAAGCCAGAGTGATGTGAAGGGAGGGAGAAGGGGAAGGGAGGGCCACCCTGCTGGGAGTGCAGCCCTGCCAGTCAGTTCATTTCAGCTTCTTAGCTCTTAGCTCTAAGAGGATCTGTGCTAATTTGTTACCACAGCAATTTCAGAGTATTATACAAAACATTGTAACCAAGCCAACAGGAAAAGTCTAGGATTGCTTGTGGAACTGGTGTCTAGGTCACTCTTTATATCTGACATGCTAGATAAAGTTTTGTGGTGGTAACAAACATGCCCTCTAATCTTAGCAGTACACAACAGCTCAGCTTGCTTTCTTGCTTATACTGTAGGTGCATCTCAAGTAGGATTGGCTCTATACCATTGGCCTTTTCACTTGGTGACCAGAGATGACAGAACCTGTACCACGTTGAGTGTAGTTGGCCACCACAGAAGGTCAAGGCAGCATGACAGATGGCATGTTGGTGTTAAAGGCATCCTTTCAGTGGTGATGCATGTGATTTAGAGCACACGGTCTGTTTCATTGCAATTTACCTAGCTATGCCTAATTTAGGAGAGAAGAGAAGTCTGTGCTACCATTTATTTAGGAAAGGAGAATGTGAGTGTTGATTTTAAAAAATGCTATGTACCACCAAACTCTTTCTTAATAATGATTTTCTTGAATACTACTTAGAAGTTTATTACTGGCTCAAGATTCAGGATTATGTAGCTCCATCTGACTGTAGGACTTAATTTGTGTAAGCACATGGTGTTTAATATAAATATTCATCTTTACTAAATACATAAGATACCTGCCAATTAAAGTAGATGGTGACTTTGCAGTAATCTGTAGAATGTGTACGTTTTGATACAGTTGTGGCCAATGAGTGGTATCAAATTCTGTTATACACTACAATAATCCCCAGCTTATCCATATGTACTGAGGAAGCTTAATTTTATCATTTGAAAGATTAATTTGTTTAGAGGATAAAATATGTACTCTGAGGGTTTTCACTGGATATACTAGTAGGACCTTTTCATTTGCTCTCATTATGCCTTTGGTAAACAGATATTCAAAAGCTTTATTAATTTACTGATTTCATGATTCAGAGTTTTTTAGATTCTATTTCTCAAATAGTCCTGACTCATGAATGTCTATGATGTAGATTACAGAGGTGATAATATGTTTTTAACCTCTTTGTAAAGCTTGTTAGAGTTTTTCTCTCAAAGCAAGTAATTACATAGACTATTTTGTTGTTTCCAGAACACATGTCCTATAGCCCTGAGAGCTCCACCACTAACTGAGGGAGGAAGCTAGGGTGAGGGATACTGTTACCATTTTACAGACAACAGAACTAGTAAATAAGTGGTAATACCAGCCTCTTTTGCATATGACCAGAATTCCATGATTGCAGTGAAAAAGAGAGGGGAAAATAATTATCCTTGGACTAAGCTAATATAGTGTGCATTGCATTTACTTCCATCGCCCAAGCCAGGGCCCCATTGTACAGAACTGAATCACACTTTCCTACCCCAGCTCTGGTTGAAGAAAACTTTGTGGAGATACTTTATGATTTGTTATTTCAAATTAGAAAGGGATAGAAAAACATCTTACATAATCCACATAATTTCTTTTTTTTGGTACATGCTGGGGCCTGAACTGAACTCTGGGCTTGGGCACTAGTGCATCCCTCAGCTCTTCAGCTTAAGGCTAGCACTCTACCACTTGAGCTACAGTGCCACTTGCTTCATTTTCTGTGGTGCTGAGGAATTGAACCCAGGGCCTCATGCATGCAAGGCAAGCACTCTACCACTAAGCCACCTTCCCAGCCCAATCCACATAATTTAAGAAGAAGCTTTTCCAGCCGGGTGCCAGTGGCTCACGCCTGTAAATCCAACTACTCAGAAGGCTGAGATCTGAGGATCACAATTCAAAGCCAGCCCAGTCAGGAAAGTCCATGAGCCTTTTGTTGTTGTTGTTGTTGTTGGTCGTGGGGCTTGAACTCTAGGCTTGGGTGCTGTCCCTGTGCTCTTCAGCTCAAGGTGAGCACTCTACCGCTTGAGCTACAGTGCCACTTCGGGTTTTCTATTGGTTTATTGGAGATAAAAGTCTCACAGACTTTCCTGCCCAGGCTGGCTTTGAACCATGATCCTCAGATCTCAGCCTCCTGAGTAGCTAGGATTATAGGCATGAGCCACTGGCACCCAACTCATGAGACTCTTATCTCCAATAAAACCACCAGAAAACTAGAAGTGGTGCTGTGGCTCAAGTGGTAGAACACTCACCTTGAGCTGAAGAACTCAGGACAGCACCCAGGCCCCACAACTGACAAAAAAAAGAAAGAGAATTAAAAAAAAGAAGCGTTCTCCTATCCCTTAGGGAGAAAAATACAAATACATACTATAGTTTTGCTTTGTTGCTCAAAAACATTTTGGTTATCCCTGGTGGATCAACCTACAATAACCATAGGAAATGTAGCCATTACCTTAGGGAGAATTTTGTCATTATCTGGGGTTATCTCAGTATTATTAAAGACAGCCCAGGCCCCAGCTTCACAGATCCTTGTCCACCTGGAGTGGACAGTACCACGTGGGTGATTGTGGGTTACCACAAAGCACATAGCAGGTACTTGGCAAACATGTACAAAATTAAGCTATTGTGGCACTGACTTAATTTGCTCCCACACCTGGTGACTATTGAGGGAGTAAAGCAAGCAGCCCTGGAAATGCTGGTTCTTGACTGTGTACCTTTCATCCTCATAGCCCGATGAAAATTCACTGGATTTTTCCTCCTGTATGCTGCGGCCTGGGATTAAAAATGCTCAGGAACTTGCTTGTGGGGTGTGCCTCTTAAACGTGGATTCAAGGAGCCGGGTAAGTCAGAGCCATTCCTTCAGCAGACAACTGTGTCCCTAGCATGACTTGAGGAACAATCCCAAGTGAAACCCACTTGACACTGCAAGGTTTGTGATTACAGGTGGGGATCTGAGAATGGCCAGAGTGCTGCCAAACAGATTCAGTCTTTTTAGAGGACACTGGGCAGCTGTTGAGCTCCTGGTGTGGTTCTGTGCTTCCTAAGTACTTTGTGCTGTACCTCTAGGACCCCAGGCACAGGGGTGGGAGAAAAAGGTTAAACCCACGAGGATTTATTTGAAGCTAGATGCCCTGTTTTGGGGAACTTTTTTTTTTTTGACCTATGATTTCAACATTATTTCAGAAAGAAGAGAAGCCTGCTGAAGGACATCCTAAAAAAGTATGAATCAGTTACACATTATCTTAGCGTCTCCATCTTAATTTTGAGTGTGGAAGGCAAACAAATGATTCTGTTGCCATCCTGGACCGTGCCAATCATGAATCCTCCACTGATTCATTCTTGTCCCATAACATTAGATTGGATCCGCTAACATGTCTGTCTGGTCTGTTTGCTCGTGTTTCATCATTGCTTCTGGTGTTACAGTTCTTTCTCTGCCATGACCTCAGAAAAGAGTAAGAAGCTACTGGAAGACATTGTAGTGATATGGAATGAGACCAGAGTCCCTCAGGATTTAGCCCATCATAGACAAAGCAAATTCTTTGGGGTTCCAAGCTTGACTACTGATAGTGTTCTAGAACACAAATTGCAGGACATTACTTGACTGACTGTAGCAACTGAAACTGCAGATAATGTGGCGTGGTGTTGATTCACTTGTCACCTTTCAGGCGTTGTTGTAATTGTTTCCTGTCTTATAATTTCTTTGTCATAATAAGACTGGAGCCAGTCTCAAATTGGAGGGACTATATATAATAATAAATAAGCAGCCTTCAGCACAGTGTGGAACGAATTATCCACAGTTCTTGGCTATTTAATTATTTGTGGCACTGGAAGTTGAACTCAAGGCCTTATGCTTGCTAGGCAGGCACTCTACCACTTGAGCCACTCCTCTAGTTATTTTTGAGGCATGGTCTCACCTTTTCCCTTGGCTGACCAGGACCATAGTCTTCCTGTTTGTTTCCTGCCGTAGCTGGGATGACAGGAACAGACCACGATGCCCAGTTTTTTCAGTGAACATTTTTGGAATTTCATGACAATTTTTTGACCCAGGCTGGCCCTGACCCACAACCCTCCCATTTTAGCCTCCCAGGTAGCTGGGATGACAGGCCCACACCACCAGTTGAGATAGGTTCTCATAGGTTCTCATGGACTTTTTGCCCAGTAGCTAGGAATACAGATGTGAATTACTGGTACCAGACTTTACTTTTTAATCTATTCCTTTCATTTTGGTGGGTATTACTAGGGAAGGGAACTCATAGCTTCCTTGAGCTTGCTAGGCTGATGCTTTACCACTTGAGCCACACCTCTAGTCCTTTTGCTTTAGGTATTTTTTTTTTTTTGGTCAGTTGTGGGGTCTGAACTCTGGGCCTGGGCGCTGTCCCTCAGCTCTTCAGCTCAAGGCTAGCACTCACCACTTGAGCTACAGCTCCACTACTGGCTTTTTCTGCTTATGTGGTGCTGAGGAATCGAACCCAGGGCCTCATGCATGCAAGGCAAGCACTCTACCACTGACCGACCTTCCCAGCCTGCTTTAGGTATTTTTTAATAGGGTTTTACACTTTTGCTTGAGTTGGCCTGATTTACAAACCTCCGTCCTTCATATCATGCTTAGGTGAGAATACCAACATGAAAACCCCCCTTGAATTATTGGATGAGATATGGAGTCTTGCTAACTTTTTTGCCCAGGCTGACTTCCAACTGCATACGTCTGCAGTCCTCCTGATCTCTGCCTCCTGAGTATCACAGGCATGCACCACCATTTCTGAACTCTTGACTATTTTAGTTTTCCATATCATAATCTCTCGGTTTTTTTCCACAATCTCCTCTGCCTTTTCTATGAAAGATTTGGCCACCTTTTGCTGAAAGTAGGTTGTTTGATAATTATTTTTATATACCTTTAATTAGCAGTGAAAACTTTCTCACTTGAATTTCTATAGCTACCTGTTCAGCTTTTGTGTGTGTGTGTCATTCAGAGCTCAGCCTCTGTGATACCTGGAGAGGTGTTATGTGTTAGTTGCTGACAAGCTCTTAGATTCAGAAAAGGCCTGATTTGCCCCACATCTCTGTCTATTTCCGGCAGGCTTTCAACTCAGAAACAGACAGTTTCAAGCTGGCCTATGGAGGGCACCAGTATCACGCCAGCTGTGCCAACTTCTGGATCAACTGTGTTGAACCAAAGCCTCCTGGCCTCATCCTACCTGATTTGCTCTGAAAAGCTCTTCTGTGAGGCACCAGCTTGTTTTATCTTTTGTGAGGTTTTTTCTGTCACACCCTTTGTTGGTGACTGACAGGGACCAATAAACAGAATACAAGGACTGTGAAGTTCACTTCCAAAAGTCTGCATGAAGAATTCCCCAGGAGAGTGGAGCGGAGGACACAGTGGCAGTCCAGGTGACCTGCTAATCCCCACTGCCCATCTTGGGATTTGAGGTGAAGCTGTCCTGCCCAAACTACAGGTAGCACCAAAGTTTGTTCAGTTCTTTCTAGGCTTGTTTTCCTTTTAGGACTCACAAAGCCCTAGCTCTCTTAAGATGCTGTAAAATATGGACCAGTTTTAAGGAATAATTTGCTGCTGCAGTTTTGAGACTGTGAAGGATTGACATTTGAAGAAAAATAGATTCTTTTTGGAGGACTGCAATTTGGCAAGACTGTTTGGAGCCAGTGCTTATTTATATCTGAAGTCTTAAGTCCTGTGAAGTAGAATGCATTTCTCTGCATTTCACTGAGTATGTTTGAAATGAATAAAAGGGGAAATGGTGATTAAACTGACTCTTTGCTTTGTTACAAACCTGACTCCACAGGACAGTGACAGGCAGTGAGGGCACATCTTAAACCTCTGGTCTGGCCCTTGTCTTCATTCCTGAAAGTGTCAGCAATCAAGACTTTCCCATGCTGCACCTGGGCCTCTGGGTAGTGGAGAACAATGTTTTGGAACAGCCTGTCAGAGCTTGTGTATCAGTATGACTGTTCTTCCCCTTTGGAACCTCCACTGAAAACCTCCCTTGCCTCTACTCTGGACTGGTACAAAGCATGGCATTTTTTCCAGATAAGACCTGGAAAGGCTGTGGAATGAACTCTCTGCAGTGGCCTCTCTCCAAGCTTCCAAAAATGATGGTAAAGACTGGGACTGCTAGCTTTTACAGTACCCATGGGAGAGATGTGAACGTGAACTCAGGTGGAAAAAGTGGAGCTCCTGGCCTATATGTGTGCCTGTTAGTGACAGATACTTGTCATTGTTCAGCAATATCACTGAATTTTAGAAGGAAAAGTCTCATTTTTTTTCTGATGTAAGAATTTTCTTTGTCATTTAAACTGAATGCATAAAATCAGGAGACCAACAGCCTGTGGTTAAAGGTGTTAAGGGCTGCTGTTAGTCATGTCCTTTATCTAAGGGTGTGTTTGTGTGTATGTGTGTGTGCACATGTATGTGCACACACGCATGTACACTTGCACACATGCCAGTACTGGAATTTAAAACTCAGAGCCTTGTACTTTTTTTTTGGTCAGTCATGGAACCTGAACTTGGGGTCTGAGTGCTGTCCCTGAGCTCTTTTTGCTCAAGGCTACTGCTCTACCTTTTTGAGCCACAGAGTCACTTCCAGTTTTCTGGTGGTTAATTGGAGGTAAGAGTTTCATGGACTTCTCCTGCCCAGGCTGGCTTTGAAATGTGACCATCAGCTTTCAGCCTCTTGAATAGCTAGGATTACAGGCGTGAGCCACCAGCATTTGGCAGAGCCTTGCACTCTTGCTTAACTTTCACTCAAGGCTAGTGCTATACCACTTGAGCCATACAGCTCCACTTCTGGCTCTTTGCTGGTTGGAAGTAAGAATCTCACAGACTTTTCTGCTGGCTGGTTCTGAATCATGATCATCAGATCTCAGCCCTCTGAGTAGCTAGGATTATAGACATAAGCCACCCAGTGCCCACCCAGCTTATCTAAGGAATTTTCAATCTTGAGTGCTTCAGTTGAGTAAAGAGTCTCTGACCTAGACCTAGTTTCTAATTGTAAACTGACAAGGTTGCTTTTGTCTGTAACTAATGTTTTTACATTATTTTCCCCTTCCAGGACAAAACTTAGGAGAATTCTGTGCTATTCCAGCCTATCTATTATCCGTTATCTCTAAGAAAGGTAGAGAGTATTTTACACAGCTGTTGATGTGGCCTCTGCTTTAACTTGCTATTTACCAGGATGTACAGAGAAGTGTTCAGATGTTATTTATTTACTCCAGATGGTATTATCTCTGGCTATTAATGACCGAGACCTCTGTCTGATTGTCACTGAGAGGCTTGTCCATGTGCAGGGCTAGTGGAATGAGTGGCCAGTTTTTGCCAGGCTCAATCCTGAACAGCACCAGCGCCCACCATGGCACCAGAATAACAACCAGTTTCAGTCAGTCATATAAATTCCCTCATAGAACCAGAGAATGGAATCTACCTGAGCAAGAAACATGGTTCCAGCTTGACAGGATTTATATTGCTGAAGCATTTTGTGAAATGTTACATGCAGTAATTTTTTATTATAATTTAATCTGTTTACTAGATTGGTCTCCACTCTTAGATTTTCTTCCAGAATGCCTTGGATAACATTCCTCATTATTGTAGATGCCCTTACCAAGTGTGATACCTTGAACAGTGCCAGAGGAAAATTACAGTAGCCATCAAGTAAAAACCTTTTCTTAGGAAAAGTATCCACTACTTTGAATGTGTTTAATACTTGAAATGTTTGTTTAGATGCCTCCAGTGAGGATGGGGGTAAAACACCACGGGGCTGGTTGTCTTTGCATGTGCTCACCGAAATGACTCAACCCTGCTCTCAGCTTCACTTCAGCGCTTTTCCTGTTAGCCAAGAGGACAGTGTCCTTGGAAACAGTAACCAAGGTTACTTATCCCCATCCTGTGTATTGTGTCAGGCAGCTTCACCCTACTGTTTGAATGGCGATTAATAAGCACTTTTCTGAGTATTGTGTTTTGCTTTTTAGATTTCTATGGGTTAGCATGTAATTTTTGTCTGAACATGCTTGAGCTTAAAACAGGTCTGAGGTATACTAGGATATTATCTATGATTTATTTTTCCCATCTCCTAGTTAGCATTCTTGACATAGACTGCATATTTAAAATTATCTTTTTTTTTTTTGTCTTTTCTTTTTTGGTACTGGGGATAGACCCCAGGACGTTGCGCTTGCTAGGCAAGCGCTTTGCCACTGAGCTACATCCCAGCCCTTAAAATTATCTTAATGTTATGTGTAATTATACATATTTTGTGTGTTTGAATTTTTTTTAATTTTTGGTCTAATTCTCATGAAGACATCTACTTTCCTATTAGAATGTTCTTGAAAAGACTGTAGGGGTTGTATGTTACAGTTGTGAAATGCTTGCTTTGTACTGGCAGCCACTGAAAATTCCCCTCTACACCTAGATCAAACAGCTTATTTTGTGAACGAACAGCTAATAAAGTAACATTTTTCAAAGGCATTTGCTGCTCAGAGGGGAGCATCGTAGCCTGCTATAGACCAGTTCAACATGCATCAGTATGCAGGCAAGATGTCTACCCTGTGTTTCTATGCCTTGGTTGGAAGGTTTACACCAAATAGTTACACCGGCAAGTCCTCTCCTTCCAAAGCTGTGGAAGGAACTTAATGAAACAGCTCTGGGTGAAATATGCCACGTTGCAAACACTTTAAGTATCAGCATAATAATTTTTTCTCCATTTACATTAATGTAAATAGTGTTGTATGACTGTTCATTATTTTGTGACTTTGGCTATGTTATATTAGCATAAGTGAATGAGGTGAATGAGTGAATGAAGGATAGTGTGGCTCTTCCTTGTGTGAACAGCTGCACAAATAGCTCCCTAGTTGCCCTGTTTAGCCATTATAAATCTTGACTCTAAAAGATTCTGAGGGTTTGTGATTACATTAACTGTTAAACTTCTCTAACAGGCCGGGCGCTGGTGGCTCACGCCTGTAATCCTAGCTACTCCGGAGGCTGAGATCTGAGGATCATGGTTCAAAGCCAGCATGGGCAAAGTCCGTGAGACTCTGGTCTCCAATAAGCCACTAGAAAACCAGAAGTGGTGCTGTGGCTCAAGTGGTAGAGCGCTCGCCTTGAGCTGAAGAGCTGAGGGACAGCACCCAGGCCCAGAGTTCAAGCCCCACGACCGACAAAAAAAAAAAAAAAAACTTCTCTAACATAAAAAGCAAGTGTAGGAGAATGTCATGCCACTATATACTTTTGGTCTTGTTTTGACAGGTAAAGATTTCACATAAACGTAAGGCACTAGGATGAAGTGAGCTAGGACACTTGGAAAGGAGTTAGGCTTCCCAAGAGCCAAGAACACTTGGTTAACATTCCAATAGTATTGTGTGACAGGATTTCTATAGGAAAATGTCCCTGGGTCACCGGATGCTTCCTTCCTATGGGACAGTGATTGCTTTGGGGTTCTTGATCCAAGGCCTGGGCCTAAAGTTGGGCCTTGTACAGAAAAGGCCCTGGTATCCCCTCATTGCTTTGTCTTCACTGCATTCTAATCATGGACAATTTTGCATTTTTGGTTCTTCTATTTAGGCAATAATGGTAAATATTTGTAAGAGTGTGCAAGTGGTTCTTGTATAGAAGAGGAATTTTAGAATTTACAAAAGGTGCCAGGCACCGGTGGCTCATGCCTGTAATCCTAGCTATTCAGGAGGCTGAGATCTGAGGATCAGGATTTGAAGCCAGCCCGGGCAAGAAAGTCTTATCTCTAATAAACTACTCAGAAAGGCTGGAAGTGGCTCTTTGGCTCAAGAGGTAGTGTGCCAGCCTTTAGCAAAAAGAGCTCAGGGACAGCGCTGAGGCTGAGTTCAAGCCCCAGGACAGGCAAAAAAAAAAAAACTAGAACATTATTGCATGAATAAGTTGTGACATATGGAAGTATGCTGTAGCAGCAACCGTGTCTGCTGTAGATTTCAGGTAGCTCTCTGATGTAGCTTAAGAAGCCACCTGGTCAGCACCTAGAGCTCATTAAACTCTGTTACATCCCTGATGAGTTGTGCTGACAGATTTACTGGGAACGAGGAACTGGGTGACATTTCCAAAGCTAAACAAAGGAAGCTATTGTCATTTGCTTATCACTCATGCCAAGCTTCAATTTCGATAACTCTTGTGTATTAACAGTCAACAGAGACATGCCTTTTGCTAAAAAAATTGATTTGTTTGATGGAAGATGAATAATTTGGTGCATTGCACTTACCTAAAGGAAACTGAAAACAGTACCTATTAAAGCAGACACTCTGTGCATAATGTCTATCCTTCAGCAAGGATGTCAAACACTGACGTGATTCAGCTGGGTGCCTGTTTTAAGCAGTGTTTAGCATAGTTATTGAGGGAACATCTTTCAGCAGCAGCACACATGCACGCACACACCCCAACATTACTAGTAAAGGTTCTATGTTAAGCAGATATATTTATTAAAAATAATGCTCATATAATTCTGGGGCACATTGATTTCAAGAGTTTTTGCAGCAGATTTCATTATAATTACTTATCAACTAAATAATAAAAGTGTATTTAACTTACAGACTCACTAAATAATAGAGAGGAAAGGAAAGGGTTAATCCAGGAGAGACGCTGTCTATCAGTCTTCCCTAACTAAGCGTGTTTGGTGGGCACTCTGGGCAAAGCCCAGCCAGAGAGAATTTTGCACTGCGCTCCTCCTGCCATGTTGCCAAAAGGCAAGGAAGTCAGAATAAAGCCGAAACAGTTTAGTAAACTGTTCAAATTGTTAAAAATGATTAAAAGCCAGTTCAAGATTTTCATAAACACTATTTCAAAATGCTAGTTTTAAAAATGTTACTAAGACGAATCCCTTTATGTCCCCTCCCTATCTCTTAAAATAAATTTGAGCACTCAGTGTAAAAACACTTGAGGGAGAACCAGAAGTAAACCACTTGAAAAGATGAAGGGAGCAGACGGTGCTAGCAGATGCTGGTACTGCACAGGGGCTGCGGCTGCTGCGGGCCTCGGCAGCATTACATCCCCCAGTAAGGCATCAGGTGTCGGGACTCTTTCTCGTAAACGTCTGGAACTACGCCATAAGGTGTCTGCACCATCTTCACTGTCGACTTCCCAAAGAGCTGGCACTCGTAGTCTATCAGCTGCCTCCAGAAGCCCACGTTGGGCCTGATGACGGGCCTCCGGGCTTTCACCCAATTGTATGCCTCCAGCAGGCAGACATTGTGGAATTTCATCAGGTAAGCAATGCAGAGAGTGGCTGAGCGGCTCACTCCTGCAGCACAGTGCACCAAGGTAGCGCCATGCTTCCTGCTCACGCTGTGGATCTTGTCAGCCACCGTGTCAAAGTACAGTCTAATGGGGGCATGAGGGATGTCAGCCAGAGGCACTTTGACATATTCAAACTGAGGCCAGTTGAAGTTGGGGATCTCAATGGTAGCATTAACAATGCAGGTGATGCCACGAGCCTGAAGGAGGTGCCGGTTGGAGGCCACACTGCCTCTGCCCAAGAAGAGGGAGGAGGTGATTTGAGCAATGCCTCCTATGTCTCCCTCAGAAATCATCCGAGGGGCCATGAGAGTCCGTGGCAGCGTGCTATAACCTCTGGAGCTCATGAAGATGGCAGTGGTCACACTTGCATCATCAGGGGCAAGACCAGACACAGTTTTATTGTCCACCAAGGAATCCAAAGCTGTAGCCTCTTTCTTTCCTGCAAGGTATAGGTATCTGTGAGTACATGAAATGCTAACGAGGTAGCACAGCCTTTTGCAGTGCTTGGGAAGGAAGGAAGGAAGAGGATTAACAAGGGCTATTTTCTGTAAGAGAGTGCCATCTTTCAAGGATGTTGACAAGTCATTTTCTATTGATTAACAGGAAAAGTAGCCTACAATGCGATACGTAAAAATCAATGTCAGACTCCTGGTGATTGTTTAAAAAAAAAAATACAACCTCCTAAGTCATCTTATTTTTAGACAAGTTAAAAGACAAGACAAGCATGGTGGCTCGTGCTTATGATCATAGCTACTTGCGAGGCTAGGAGGATTGTATGTAGTTCAAGGCCAGCCCAGGCAAAAAATTCACAGCCCCATCTCAGCCAATTAGAAGCTGGGTGTGGCAGAGTGAGGCATAAATAGTATTTAGTAAGGCCAGCTCTGACCAAAAGCCAAGACACTATTTGAAAAGTAACAAAAAGGGCTAGGGACCTGGCTTAAGTGGTAGAGTGCCTGCCTAGCAAGCACAGTTCAAACCTCAGTACTACCAAAAGAAAAAAAAAATGCTTAACTGGTTCCTAAAGAATCAGGAGGGGCTGGGAATGTGGCTTAGTAGAAGCATGAAACCCTGGGTTCGGTTCCTCAGTACCACATAAGCAGAAAAATCCAGGAGTGGTGCTGTGACTCAAGTGGTAGAATGCTAGCCTTGAGCAAAAGCAGCTTAGGGACAGTGCCCAGGTCCTGAATTCAAGCCCCAGGACTGGGTCTCCCGCCCCTACTCCCCCCCCCAAAAAAAAGACTTTTTTCAGGATCCTGTTCTCAGCCAGGAGTGTTTCTTGAGGATTAGGAAGGGATCAGAATTTTTTTTTTTCAGTGCTGGAAAAGGAACAAAGGATCTCACACCTATTGGCAAGTACTCTACCACGGAGCCACAGCCCAGCCAGAGATAGAAGTTTTCTTTCCATACAGCCGTGCCTTTATGTACTACTCAGCTACTCTGATGGCTAGAATGACTATATTTTCTTTTTATTTTTGTTTTTTTTTGGGGGGGGGTCCGGTTGTGGGGCCTGAATTCTGGGCCTGGGCACTGTCCTTCAGCTCTTCAGCTCAAGGCTAGCGCTCTACCACTTGAG